GCTCACATTTTTTTACTCAGTGAATTTTGCTTACCTATTATTTGCAGCAACAAAAAAAAGAACTTTTTTGAATTTATTTCAGCGCGATAATACTCTATTGATTGCGTTAAAATATCGGTCAAACTGGAATGTAAATTCTTTTATTATTCAAGAATTGTCCATTTCCTGATAATATTTTATTGTTAATTTTAATAAAGGAATGAATGAATGAATGAAAGAAATGGTAATGCCATTTAAATCCTTAAAATTATTGAATTGACAGAAGTGTAAATTTTCAAATTTGAAACTCTACCAGAAATCATTTTTCGGAAATTTCCCTAAATGATCTATGACCCGAAATGATTTATCGGAATTTTGCGTACATTTTGTCGTTAGAAAATTGTGAAAACTTGAATTTTCAAATGTTTTCACATTTAGAATTACAAAACTATTTTTAAATTATTGTTTGATATTTATGCACAGAACTGTTTGTAAGTTCGATATTTTTTCTAAATATTTCAAACTTAACTTTTTGCAAATAATAAATATGAGCAAAAGTTCGGTTGTTAAGCTTTCCAAAAATTCCCATCTTGCACTTTTATGTATATAAATTTCCTTTCTCCTCTAAAAATAAAAAAATTAAATTCCTTTAAAACACAAAATATTAGAAGCACAAATGGTGAAAAAGCATTCACTTCATATCTTTCTTTCTTTTAATTTTTCTGGAAAATAAATATCGCTGTTAACTTTTTCCATTTCATTTCAATCAAAAGATTTACTCAATAAGCTAAATAAACATGCAGTTAAATGTTATTTGAAATAGAATGACAGCTTATTGTAATTGAAGGCTACCGTAACCAAAAATGGGCAATTATCATTTTTTTGTTTTAAGTTGATAGTAACGAAAACCGCCAGATGCGCTAAGGTAATCAAAAAAAAAAAAAGTAACTGATGCATATTCTATCCAACGATCGTATTCTCTAATGATTTTTTGAATTTGTTACGCAGAAAAATTTTCTTCTTTACATTTCACATATGTTTCATATTGTATTTATTTTTCTGTTCGGCACAGTTGAACTGTCACACATTGGATACCATTTTGGGGTCATGTTGGGTCACACTGTATTTGCAAATTTCTTTCCATTAAGTTTTCCATATGATACTGTGTCCTAGTGTAAATTCCGGAATTATTTTAGAAAACAAAGAGACTACCATGTAAACGTGAAATTTCCAATCGATGATTTCTTTTAGTGAAATTGATTGCAAATTACTATTAATTGTTTTGTTAATTTAAAAAAAAAATTAAAATTGGTAGGAAAAGACTAGTTGAATTGAAGCATTGAATGAATACTGTAGAGGAAAAAGAAGAAAGATAGATCAGAGAGATGACAAGAAGACTGATATCGAAGTGATTTAAACAGTGGATCGATAATTTGTATCCTACCAGCTTTTATCATTCTCAATTCTAATTTATTCGACTGAAAAGAAATTTCATATTTTTTTAACGAAAAAATGCTGGAAATTTTAAAATAATTATTCGTCCAGATTAATTTGATATTTTTTAAAATTAATTTTTTGCTAATGAAATTTGCAATATGTTTCCTTTGAAAGATATTTTCCTTTCTTTCTGCTAACGTAACTTAACGATGTAAAAATTATGGATCGAATTTTTTCACTAACTGGCTATATGGTCATTCTGTTCAGCTGTCTGGCTAACTGGTCCATTTTGAGCCAGAAATTGGTGGAAGAATAGTTTGAGGCCAGGAGAAGAGGGTTGGATGTGTTTCGATTGTGAAATTTTATTGAAATTCGATCTCTTTCTTTTAGTGCTTAGTGAGCTTCCCATACGAGAATGAATGGTTGAATTTCGCTTCATTTTTCGTATCTCATACGCCATAGCCAATGAATAATGCTTTAAATTTTGCTTTTCTCTTCGCAATCACTTTTATCATTAACTATCATTTTAGGCTGTTCACGAAAGGAATTTATTTAACGGTGAGAGGGCAGCAACAACAACAACAACAAAAACAAAAACAAAATAACATCAATCATTATTAATAACAATAATAATAGCAACAGCAACAGTAACGCCGTTAATATTTGTCAGTAATATTAGCAAGGAAGTCAAATGATTCGAGGTAAATATTGACTTGTACATTTTATTTGTAATATACTGTTAAGAAAGATTAAGGAAGTTAATTTTTTTAAATGCGTAATATTTTCAAGAGATTACGGATGTAGTAGAAGTGGTGTTTTTTTTTATTTAGAATGCAGATTTTCCGATTTTCTTTTTTTTATTAAAGCTTTGTACGAATGAATGTAAATTGCCTATTAATATGAGAATATCCATATATAAAATAATAATAGCTTTTCTCTTTCGAGATCTGTAGAAATAATTATTGGCGCTGTTTGATGGAAAAAAATATGGGAATATTTTCTAAGCTTTGAAAGTGAAATGGATGTAATGTTGGCTGTAAAAATTTGAAAATTATTGGAAATCTATATAATTTGTTGGACATTTTAGATGCGGATTTGGTCCAGTTATTGCCGGCAGGCCATTCTGTCGGAAGTATCCGCACCCGTCGTCCATTGATGTATATATTTTCCGGTGGAAATGAAGATGCTGCTTTCTTCTCAGTGAATGGTTTCTCGATACTTCTTGATGGAGGTGATCAGATAGATGTTCCATACTGGAATCTAATTCGTAATTATGATAAAAGTAAGTATTCTTCTGTCATTCGTTTTACTCATCTTTGCCTGATTATTTATTTTAAGACAAATGGGCCAAATATTGCCATTAATGTGTTTGAGTGACACAGTATTGGTAGGTTAATTGCTTGCTTTATGTGCTTATTTATCTGGAGTTTTTCTTTTTTTTTTTTATTATTAACTATGTTTATTTTTTTTATTTGCACATATGTTTTATTTGCATAATTAAATCATCTTGCACAAAAAAATTGTTTGCGTCGTGTTCCAATTTTTTTCAGATAATTGTTGAATTTTAATGTTTTATCCTTGCAGTTGATTGCAGAAAAGAGAATGTGAGGCAAAAATTTCTACTAATTATCAAGTTAATCGTTTTTTTTTAACTACAGTATCAGCAGCACTGGTTACTCGTGTAAGTCCAAAATGTTTGCAAGGAATCTCAACAATTTTAATGCGAAAATGCCTGCAAGAGGTATGTTTATCACTAGATTTTTAAATTGAATTATTGATTGATGGAAAGAACGACTTTACTATGTTTTTTTTCCTTTCTATAATAGGCTCGAAAGACAATTATTCGGAAATACAATGCACTATGTCTAGGTAGAATAAGCGACAGAGATGATATGGATAACTTTTACGAGACCTGCAAAATATTAATGTACAGTTGTGGTTTTACTGAAAATACTACGATATAAAATCAATTAAATTATATGAAGTAAAACCAATTAAATTATATGAAGTAAATCATATGAGAAAAAAGAGTAATTCTGCAAAATATAAATGCCTTCGCGTAATCTTAAAAGATAAACTTGTTTTTTTTTCGGTATGAACAGTTCAACTATCCCCTAACAAAAAAAAAAAAAACAAATGAAAAGCAAAAAAAACAACAAAATCCTCTAACAAAAAAACAAATGCAAAGAAAACACCAAGCAAATGTATGTACTTGTATGAATAAAAGGAACATAGTTTTGTTTTGGATATGAAATAATTGTGAATGAAAAAAAAGGAACAAAAAAAAATAGCCTCTTAATTTCAGTGTCATCCAAATTTTGGTTCTGTGATTTGTAATTTACCACCTTCAAGCTTATCAAATGGAGACAGTGAAGCTTCAAAAGTTTTACGCGCAATGCATGAAGGTCTACGTGCGGAAGGTTTAAAACCGATTGAAGCTTTTGCTAGTACGAAGCTAGAAACAATAACTTTATATGAGGTTAGTTCGCAAGTCAAATCTATCTTCCAGTGCTTTCATTGGATTTTTTATATTTTTTTTCTTTTCTTGCATTCCTTTTATTTCCATAATTTTAGTTGTTCTCATTTTTAGGAGCAGAATATTTATTAGATTTTGTAATTTTTGTCAAATTTCTTATAGCATTAAATTGTGAAATCGATGAATTAAAAATCGGGTTTTTTATGAACCATTGTTGAAAGTGTCGATTTTTTAATATTCCACTACATTTAATTCTCAGCAAAATTAGAATTTTTTGAAAGTGCTTAGCAATTTATCATTCGCCGTCGCTATATTACTTGTTTAGGTACAAATAATTCGCTTCGATTTCTGTCTATATATGCGTACACCTGAAAATTACTCGTTTTTCAGGTGATAGGAGAGGGTGCATTGCGCATGATTGTGCTAAATCCAGAACGTGGTTCGAAAGATTTGACGTCGCTTATACAGGCTTTAAAAACCGATGAAAATATTGAGAAATTTGCTGCCTTGACATCACTAGCACTTCTTTTGGTTTGGCATCCATCAGATTACACATTACCTGTGTCACGGATTCTTATTACTGGTAAGGGTGTATTTTAAAAAGTTTTGAAACCTTCGTTTTCATTATTCTAGGAAATTTCATTAAAAAAAAATTTTTATTCTATTTCTTTGTCGTCCTTCATAAATCAAACATTTTCGATTCAATTTCTGAAACAGCATCTCAAACTAAAAACGTAGTAGAAGTGTGGTTTTTAGTTTGAGATGCTATTTTAGAAGTTAATTCAAAACTGCTTGATTTATGTAACACATTCAAAGGAATTAATTTGAGATTAAAAAAAACTGCTGCTGCTTGAACGAATTTTACAATGTTTTCAGAATCTAAGATTTATTGTTTTCATATTGTTCTTATTTAAGGCTCTTGTCCATTGGAGAAACTTTATGCATCGCTGGAAAAGTTGAAAAACGAGGAATACTTACGTTACCCTCAATTTACGCAGACTATGAAGGAAAAATCATCAGCGGCTCGTCCAGGAAGAATAATACGAAAACCTACGCCTAGTATATATTTGTCACAGTTTTTAAAATACCAAATAAGACAATTAAAACCACAAGCGATGTCAATATCTTTCGATGAAAACAATGTTATGCCAAATCACATTTTCTGTTATGCTTTAATGCACTTAAAAGTATATTTTATAGTATAGCTAGGCAGAGAAAGAAGGAGTAAGAGAGAGAATGAAGAAGTAATTAGTATAATAATTGAAAGAAAACACTTCAGAAAACTTCGAAAAGCGATTTGGGAGAGCTAATTAAAATTTTCTTCTAATTATCTGCAAAAATAGGATTTTAGTAATTGTAAATATTTCGTTCTCTATCTTTTCATTCATTCTTTTTAAAATTTTCCAGCAAAAAATCTTCCCAATTCGTCATTATCACGTCCTGCATCGCTGCAAGCAACAGGTCCTTCTGCACCTGTTGAATCACTGAAAAAGGTGGTTAGGTCAGTTTTCTTTTTTTTTTAATGAAAAATTTTAATTGGACTCTCTCAAGAAGAAATCCGGAACTGTTTTTTGTAAGTTTTGAAGTTTTTCAAATAATTTGCAGCAGTATACTTATTTCAGACAATCATTGGCAGGAGCTACATCACCACGAGTTGTTGCGAATGCGAAAAGACCAGTCACGGAACTAACAAAGGCATCTGCTATAGGCAATGGTAAATCTCACACCCCAGAAAATAAAGTCGGAGGTAAGCCAGGAAAATCTAGACTAAATGATGCGAAGAAGAATACTACTCTCGAAGTCAAGCCAAAAGAGAATGATACAGGAAAAACGAAAGTAGCCGATAAAGCTGGAAATAAAACTCCACTAGCGAAAGTAAATTCATTCTGATTTCTTTGTCATCAGTATTTCCATGGCATGCTTACTAAAACGAAATTGTTGAAGCTAAATTATATGTAGTCCTGATTGATTTGTTAAAGTGTGTGAAATAATCTTATATTTGTTAATTTTCCTTAATATTTAAAAAACTTTTCTATTAAATTAATCGTTAAGATGCAAGTTTTTTCTTTTTATTCAGTGAATGTCATTCTTTGAGGTGAAAGCTCAAGGCTCAGATCCAGTCTCGACAAATGCGCAGCCTGTTAAGGTAATGCAAAATCCAGTAACAACCACTGACTTGCCATCTTTAAATAACTTACAAAATGCATCAAGTCCATTAAATCCCGAGCATCCTTTTGAAGCAAAACACTCTTTTGAAATGGAAAGTGAAACTCCTACATCTCCTGAAAATCCAGAAAATCCACAAATGCCTGAAAGTTCATTTGACCCACAAGTTCCGGATCATAATGGTTTGCTAGATGGCATTGAAGAACCGATGAAAGTCCGTAAAATTAGTATGGATTTTTCGAACGAAGACAAGAATTTTGTTGGAGATTTAATGGAAGAAGAAGTAGTAAGTTAACCAAATTTAATAGTACGAACAAACGTATTATTGTGTAATGGTTTTGAAACTCAACATAGTTTTTTAAAACACAATTTGGAATTGTTGAATTCAGGCGATGCATGGAAAAGGATTCGATCTGTTAAATTCAGCAGTACCATCACAAAATACACCCTTACTTGATTCTACACCGATAACACCATCAGCGCCATCCGTTGGAACAGGTGATGTGTTCTCTGATTCTTCAAATGCATTCGGTTCAAAAACTAGAATTGCATATCACACTGATGAAAGTGTTAACAAAGCCGCAGTCTATAATCAAGAGGTTATGCAAAAAGGAGATTTACAGGGTATCTTCGCATCAATGAATTTTTTTCTTTTAGATTCTACATTTTTTTAATTGCTTCATTTTAATTTTTCTATTATCTGTCTTCGTTTTTTTTTCTTAATATCTCTTTTTAGCTATGCATTTTATTTAAGAGTAATTTGCTTTTTTTTTAGATTTGTTTAACAGTGGTATTACCCCATTCATGACAGGTTTTGTAACCGGGATTGTTGATGACTCTTCAACACTGCAGGAGGTAATATTTTTCGGAGCACTAATTTATTCGAATTATTAAGAAGGATATATTAAAAAAACTAAATAAGTTTGTTTTTGAATTTAGCAACTGGTTCAAAATTTTTCGTGATTGATGTTTTTCGTTTTTTGCTAACTAAATAAGTTTCTTTTGAATTTAACAAAAAAATTTTTTTCGTGATTGATGTTTTTTTGTGTTTTTTGCTAATTTTGTCCTAATTTTGGCGTGAACTAGAAAATGAGAAAAAAAATTTATTCCGTTCAAATTACTCAGCATACTGGAAATAAATTAATATATTAGTCTAGTGAACTACTTAAGGCTAGAAGTGCAAAAAGAATTAGAGATGTGTTATAGCGATGAAAGAAAAAAATCTTATGTTTTAGTTGCCACCAGCGGATTACGATGAATTTGAAATCTCAAAATCTTTGAGAACGCCCCTTTCATCAAATAAACTCAATAATGGAACAATAGAAAGTGTGCAGGACGACAAACATGAAGAGGCTAGAAGGACGACTTTACGTGAGGAAATTGAAAAGGTAAATGTTTCGATTATTTTATTAGTTTCATTAAAGTTTTCACTCCAAGATATCCACTTATTGTATGTATTATACATGCTCGTTTACATAAATTAGCTTTTTCTTATCATCTGAACAACTTTTTAAATGGATTAACAGTCTATATTTTAAAGAAAATTATTAAGTTTAATCTCGAAAAATTTTGACTAATATTTACATTTTTTTTAGACACAGATATTATCTAATATCAAGCGTGAGACATTCTCGACTCGAAGCAGCGGTTCGGGTGACTCTGTCACTGCTCAGGTATATTTACTCTTTTTGTACTTTCAAGAAGTCTCAACAGCTTTTCTGAAGCATTATGGAGCGATAGATAAGCATAATTGTTATGTTTGTGGCAGTCGAAATTTCTTTGATAAAATCTGTGAGCTTTGAGAAAGTTGTGCTTTATAATTGATTAGTTTTAGCCGGATCCAGCCCTGGATGAGGTAATTGATTCGCTAGCCGAGGCATCGGAAATGGTTGATAATGCACGAAAAACATCATCTGAACTGGAACGTCATGTCCAAGATCTGACGACGCAAGTAATCAGTAATGCCCAATCAACAACGGCAGCGACTGTAACAGGTTGTATGGGACAATTAACAGCTGTTAAGGATATGTTTGATGGACAAGTCACCAATATAACTCATGATATCAATGATAACGCTAATGCACTTGCGGTATACTTTCATTTATGGTTGTTTTGAACACAGTTATTTAGGCTTACACAGCCGTTAATTTATCAAGATTATGCGAAACACAATCAGACCTTGGACTCTTGTGTGGAACTAATTAGACGCCTTTACTTGAACACTCTGAGATAGAAATCCATTTGTATTTCGAGAGTTATCATTGCTTGCCTTTTATCATCCTGGCAATATTTTACATTTAAGAATCAAAATGCTTATGAAGAAAAGTGCGCAGAAGAAATGTATCTTCCACCGATGACGAGTGCAGCTAAAACACGTGCGAAACCACTGGTAAATGGCGTAAAAACTAAGCCCAAACTATCCCAACCACTATATTTCGATATTGTTTTCGTCCCACATCATGGTGCCCATCCTACGCTGAAAGATGAAGAAGCAGCAAAAGCATTCGTAACTAGTATTCGATCTAGGTTTGATTTTTTTTCTACGATTTGTTTTCTGTTAACTTATCCATAAATCAGTCATTTATCCACAATAAGATTGCAGTTATGAGTATAACGATGATTTAAGAGATATACTGGATAATCTCTTAAATCATCGCTTTTCTTCAAACTTCCTTAATACTCTTGTGAATTAACATCTTTGTATTTTTTGAATGCAAATTGCGTAAAAACACGGTGGTCAGAGTTAGTTCTTACTGTGATAAAGATTTTTTACAGCTGAAAATCTCATTAAGGTATAAGAATGCTTTTGCTGGTAACGTTTATGTTTTTATTACTTAGTTCATGTTTTTTTTTAGACGTTACGTACTGAGTGGAAAGGATTCAATACGGACATATTTTATCGACGGTCTTATTGCTGGTAAAGCAGCGTGGAATAAACCAGGTTAGTTTAGTTACAAATAAACCATTTGGATGTATTTAGTCATAAGTACGTTGTTAAAAAAAAAAAAAAAAAAAACATAAGTCAAAAATTAGGAAGAAATTACTGAATGATTTGTGGCTTTGCTTTTTTCTGAACTAGAAAGAAATAAAGTTATATATATAAGTAGTTTTTTTGCTGTTCTTTTTATGTCATTATTATGAATAATTATGAATTTGTAGAACTTGAGGTGGATGTGCTCCCAACACATGATAGTGATGAACTGACATTATATAGCCATGAAAAAGTAAGTTTCTATTTTTCTCTATATAACAAATAATAGTGCAATTAGAAGAATTTCCCTTATGCTTCATCGTCCAAGTACTTCAATGTTATGAGGGCATGACGTCAGCAAAAAAGTAGATAAAGGAATTTAGCATAATATAATACTGAAGCTTGTGGACAAAATGGAAGGGATGAACTATATGATAGGATGAAACGAATTGAAACATATGAAGCGGAAGTGGAGAGGTAAACCAAAAGAGGATTAAATTAAATGTTTTACAGCAAGCATTTTAAATTTTATTTAGAAGACATGCTGAGTGTAAATAGGATATTTACTATTGTTTGAATTTTTCGAAATGTTGAAGCCAAATGTTGTGATAATTTTCAATACCTGTTTTTTTTTGAATACTGTTTATGCTTCCACTTTTTGAAATTCTAAAGATTATTTTGTTTCAGTTGTACTTTTATGCTGATATCAATGATTCTCTGTATATTCTTTTTCATGTTTTGCTTTACTATTCTGTTCATCATAAATATTTTTTAATCTTTTTTGTCTGTATAGTTTTTTTCACTTTAAAATTATTTTTTAATTTTATCCAGCCACTTCAGTTTTACATATACTTTTTGTTTTTCAGGCGAATGAAATAGCCGAAGTGGGTATTAGTTTACGTTGCTCGGTTGAGCGTTGTACATTGAGGCTATCCAGTGGTGGTACTGATGATGTTTGTGCCGCATTCAAATTCGAAATGTAACTATTCTAGCCCAAACAAAGAATCTCGTTTTGAAGCAGTGCAGTTCTTTTTCACTTCATTAACCAGAATCTCGTATATCATTCGTCGACACCCATAAATAATCATTATTTTATTTAGCTCTGCTACTTTGCTTAAATAAACGGAAATCATAAGAGTGGTTTTGGAAATTCGGTTTTTTTCAAAGATCCATGAAACAAAAATTTCGAGATTTATTTGAATTCTTTAAATTTAAGAGCTTAATTTTTTGACGATATCTTTCAAACAATAACATTGAAAATCTAAATTTTAAAGAGATTAAAACACTTAATTGTTGAGAAATTTTGCTGATAATGTTTCAAAAGGATTTTATCCTAATTAGTTACAATTTAAATTCACGAAATCCCAAAAACCGTTTAATTAGATTCAGATTTATTAAGGAATAATTGCTTTAATACAAAGTGTCAAGAAATCAAGGATATGACTGTTTTTTAAAAAGAAATTGAATGGTGTGTTTTTTGTCTCAATTAGACAGTTTTTATAACTGTCAAATAGATGATGATTTATGTTGCTTTTTTATTGCTTCGAAAGCTTGTTACCTTTTCAAGGAAACAATTTATTTCTTTTAAATTAAAAGAAATTTTGAATTGTTTCCAAGCAAAGAGTACCTGGGCAAAACTTTCGATTATATTTTCAGACTGTTGACAAAAATTAAAGGGAACCGTACTAACCACCTAGCCCATATTAAATAGATTCTGAATAAAAACAAAAATGAGTCATTTATTCATTCTCGAAACTATTAATTATAGCATACTTTGATTATACTTGTTAGCTTTGATCAGTATCATCGGCTCATTGTTTCCAAAAATCATTCTAAAATTATGCGCTTTTTATTACTGTTTTGTTTTGCTTTGTAGCATATAAAATTTATGAATTATTATATCCTTTCATTTTTTTTTCCAAATTATATTTTTGTTGCTGCTTATATCATTAATTTATCTCCATTTTGTGAGATTTAAAATGTTGAATAAATAGAGACAAAATCTTGTTATTCAAAATTTTTTTGTATCTTTAAAATAGGAAATCCTGTTTTTTTTCACACGCCTTCCTTCCTAGTGTTTAACGCACTTTTTAAAAATTTTCCAAAGATTGAAATTGTTATATCTAAAATATCGGCCCAAATTGTTAACAATTCTTAAGCCAGCATTTGAGATTGATTAAAATTGCCATCTCATCAGAGCTTGAATCTAGAGCTTGCATACGGTTCACATTCAGGATTTTGGGAAGTTTTTCTCTTGTCCGAGAGCGATGAACAGGATATTAATTGAGTAATGTTACCAACAAAAAATTACACTTCATATAAGCCTTTTGAAAATAGCGATATCACTTTTTGATGCGAATCAATTTTATAATAATTTATGATTCACTTTATTTTACTCAAACACATTGTCCGATTAAAATAACATGACAATTGTAATGAACGAGAAAACAGAATGAGCGACATATACGATGCAGAATTTCAGAATTTATCATCCAATTTGGGAATTGGGAAAAACAGTGCTGAAAAAAAAATTCCTCAAATTCCACTACATCAAGTTTTAAGAAAAAAGAAAGATATTTCTTTTGTTAAAGATTTTGCTAAAGAGACTAAAAATAATTTTGTTTCAAATAGAAATTTCTTTGCACGAAATATAAGCAGTCAATCTTTTTAAATTTACTTTAGAAGCTTTGGGATAAGTTAGTTTTCTAGAAGGACAAGGAAATCGATTAATATTTACAATAGATAAGCTAAAAAGAATTTATGCAAATGAAATCAAAATAGGTTGGTCACTGTGACATTTACCGTCGACATTCTGAAATGGCGGACAGCAGCTTGGTCGACTGCAACTTGTTAATAAATCTGCAGGTCTGTAAATTAAATTTTTGATAAATTAAAAAAAAAAGCGAATTATTAAAAAATTACTATGGATGATAGGATTTGTAAAGAAGTAGAAAAAACTGTTTTCACTAACAGCTTTAATACAAGTTGTTATTTAAAGTTATTTAAAATTATTTAAGTCAAGTCGAATAACAATCAATGCAATGGAATATTTGAGATAAATTAAGGATTGATTGGTTACTTCGTTATCATTATCAGCCATAATTTCATATCTTAATCATTAGTTCTTTCATTCTGTTTTTATTATCATTGCTATCATTAATATTATAATTAAGGAATAGAAAAAAATATATACTTGCCACATGCGCTACCATCAGCACATATTCGATTTTTGAATTTAGCTTGCTGACATCTAACATCAACTGGGCATGCTTGTAAATTACATGTTGAGAATTCTTGACCTTTACCGCTGGAATTAATTTACTCCTATAAATGAAATGCAACATATCATTCTGTTGATATATAAATATACAGAACAATGCTAAACCTGCACTGGGCAGTTTTGCATGTCCGAATCCTAGACTGTATACCACAAGCACCACATGATCGTGAACATTGTGACCATTCGCCCCATTCGGACCAAATATTCTTTCCAGCTATCGTTGTACGAGAAGCTGGAAATTTTTATTAAATTTTCCGAAAAATTTATCTCTCTCTTTCTTAATTGATAATAAATTTCCGTAAAGAGTTTTTTCCTCAATTTTGAACAATTTTATATGATAACTAAAAGTTACTTAAAGAGATAAAATGATGATGATGATGGTGATGATGATGGTGATGGTGATGGCAATGATGATGATGATGATGATAATGATGATGGCGATGATGATGATGGTGATAGTGATAATGATGATGATAATCATGATGATAATGATGATCTTTTCATATAAAATTGCAATAATTAAAATCAAATAATTGAATCTGTGAAGCTATTGTTATACCTGTAGTTGTTGCTTTGAGTAATGCTGGAGTTGTTTGGGCTCGTTCCATAGCTAAAATATGAAAAAAAAAGATGATAAATTCCAGAAATATATCTTCATTAAATTTTAATTTAAAAATATTTATACAAATACGAACTTTTTCGAAATTTAAGCTTAAAACCAGTATCTTCTGCTATTGTTGCTCGAAATATGATGACAGCTTGATGCATCGCCGAAATTAATGAATTCGCTGGTTTATCGTAGCAGCATATCCTGACATTTCATCTCTTCTTTTTATTTACTTTTTCCTTATCTATTCTTTTTTTCATTTATCCTTATCACACCTTATCATTTCTTTATTCTGTTTATTTATGAATAAAATATGATTAATCCTTTCATTCATAAATAAACAGCAATCATAATAGAAGAGGATATATTGCAATATACATCAATTATCGTACCATTAGCATAATTAACATTGAATCTATAAAAAATATTCTCTGTTGTTACATCAGATTGCATATTTAATTGTCAATATAACAGTATTGATATTTATATTTCAGGTGATTGTACTGTAACAATTTTATACTGTAATCTTATTACGTATTATACTGTAATAACATCAAGTCAAAGTAGATTACAGTACTTTACATTCGGTTTTTTATGTTCCTATTATTTGAATTTTTTACGACCATAACTCTACCAATTTTTTTGAGGATGAAAGAAAATAGTGAACTATTAGGGATGTATGATAGGAAGAGATAAATTAATATGATAGAAAAAACATGCAGTGTTCATGCCTAGAAAGTATGCCAATGCATTATCAAATCATTGATTGTATGAATTGTGGTTGATTAGCAAAATTAAATTTTGTAATATTATATTGAATTTATACCTATTAAATGCTGGCTTGATTTAATATCAAAATACTAATGTCATGGATCGAGGCTTTCAATTTTAGAATTACAAAAATTAAGCTAAAAATCTATGTATCGGTAGATGAATTCAATAGAATGTTAAATTTAAAAATGATTAAAAGTGATTAATTATTTGTGATTTTGAAAGTTTAAAAATTAACATGAAAAAGCATTCATAGTAAAAGAAAAAATAAATTCAAAATATTTACCTATAACCAGTATTAGCCATATCATCACCAATTTTCAATTCAATGTAATCAACACAAGTACTCGAGCAAAATATGCCAAAGTCATCTTCGAAACTGATTTCAATTCTTTCTTCTAAAATTAATAATGATAAAATAAGATTAATTGAAATTTTTTAAAAAAGTACAAATATAAGTTTTAAAAGTCATTTTTCGTTTTAAATTCTTCAGATTGAAAAAATTCACCAACCTTTATCAGTTTTGAGAAGCCAATTACATGTGATATTCATGGGATATCCATCGGGATATCCTGGTGATTCAATATATTGCCAATCAACTTCAGCTTTCAACGCCCCACCACATTTGCTATTCGCTGAAGCATTCTGCTAAAGCATTTTGGTGAAGTAAGGAAGGTGAAATGTAAAAACTAATTTCATCAATCTATTCACTGATTATGTGAAAAAATTGTTCGATTGCGGAAGATGTCTAAATCTATAGAGATAGAAGAAATAAGTACAACTTTAAAGTCAAATTCAATTGATAGCTTCATGGTTGGACATATGTGGTACAATTAGCTGCTCTTTATTTGATGCAAAAATAAAAATATCTCCTTATTTAAGATGTAAAAAAAAATGATTAAATTTACATTTGCTATCATCATGTGTTTCACACTTTGAACCACCAAAACCACTCGGACAAAAGCAACTTTTGCAATCATTGGGATTCAGATAACCACCATTTTTGCATTCATCTTTCTCTTTACAGTAGCCTAAATGTTATGTAAATGTACTTACAGTAGCCTAAATATGTTTACAGTAGCCTAAATATGTTTACAGTAGCCCAAATGTTAAATGGATTTGTTAAATGATTTTGGATTTAAATCTGAATTGTTCATAGGAATCTGTATATAGTTTAAAATTTGAACCAAATTTCAAAGCAAAGCATAAATCGAAGTTACCTTTACAGTAAGCCTCATTGATCAATTTAATATCGTAGAAGGATAGTGAATCTCGTTGACCGATTGTCATCTGATAGAATGGATCCCTATAATTTGTCGTATTTCAATTTAATTCTAGGAAATTTGAATTATTTGCTAATTAATGAAACTAACAAATTAACGAAAATACCTCGTCAGAAGTGTCTTGCTTTTCTGATCCACGCTAAATGCTGTTGAACCATAGTGCATGATAGAACCGAGATCGTATGGCACATCAAAAGTTGTAATTTCATTTTCACTTCGTTTTAAAAATTCGCTAATATAAGATGGTATTATATAATCCTTCATTACCATAATATATTTTTCCGCATCAGGCCTGGATTGCTCATGCCATAAGCCTAGTGTGTGGCCAAGTTCATGTATTATAGTACCTATCTAAAATAGAATAAATTTCAATGAATATTTTGAATAGCTTTATTTTTTATTAATAAATATAAACATGTCACTATTGAAAGATATTTGATCATTACGTTTGTAATTAAATTAATTAGGAATAGTCACGGAAAAATAAAGGCGAAAAATAAGGTGACCTAAATGAAATCTTACCCTTTCACATCCCTTACCAATGGATATTCCTTGCCTACCACCAAAACGACCAATCATTGAATAACATCTGCAATAAATTTTAAAAACTATACAACAATATTTGCTAAAATCTTATCTTTACTTATAAATCAATAAATAATTTTCTCATTTATATTAGCTGAAGATGAAAAAGGATGCCGATTATTTTTCATTGTAAATATAGATAGACTTACCCATCACCACCAAAAAATTCGAGATAATCACCGCTAGCTTCTTGATCATTTTCAAATTTAACACATGTATTGCTTTGCCATATTTCCAGAGCTTTTAGAATTTGGCTAATTTGCAGAATATCTTAAATGATAAATTAATTTTAATAATATATTATTGAAGAAGAAAGAGAGAGAAGTGAAAAGAAAATAATTTTTTTGTTTATAAATTTTAATTAAATTAATCAACTAACCCAGTGATTCATCAAATCGATATTTAATAGGAAATTGTAACCATTTTGCCTCAGGGTCGGTACTAAAACGTTTCTCTTTTTGAAATGCTCCACGAAATAAATACAACGGAGCATCATGCGCTACACGTTGTTTCCCTTTTTTATTTGTTTTATTTTTACTGGCCAATGAGTCCAATATGGTCATTGCTTGTTTTGTCGAGAGGAATATATCACCTATAAGCAAAGAATGATAATAACAAAATTTTTCATTCAAATATATTTGTATTTAAATAATTGAAAATTGCAAAAATTAATTTTAATCCTAATTTTACTATTGTAATATTAACCTTCAAAAAGATATGGTGTTAATTTACTAGTTGTTTTTGGTTGTTCTGAACTAATTGAAACATCCCTCCGACTATCAACAGCACTCTGTAACACAATTAAATTAAATGAACACTGAATTATTATTTTTGAAGATGGAAATGAGTATTAATTTTCTATGATTTTAAAGTTCATCTGAAAGATAATTTGAAAAGATAATTTCAACTCCATTATTCATTCTTAATTTCAGCTATGAAAAGATTAATTTTAAAAGGATTTCAACTTTATTATTAATAATTAATAATAATACAACTAATACAATATCTAAAAGTCATATGGACTATAAAATATATTCAAATTTACATCACGACTGAATACACGATTTCCATAGGCCTGGCTGTGTGCAATTTCTTTCATTTGCAGTAACAACGAGCTTACAACATTGATGTGCTTATCATCGTAAGCAAAATGCTTTCGTAATTCCTACAATATTTCTTTTTTATTTTTCAAATTTTTTTTAATGAAATGAAAGAGAAAATGGTAAAAAAAATTCTTATCATTCATTATCTCTTTTTTCAATGTAAATTCTTCAATAGTTAATCAATATGCTTCGATTTTTCATAAACAAAAATTTAAAAATTCAAACAAAATTTATAAAAAAATTAAATGTAGCACATGAGCGAACTATGTAATATTTTAATTGTTTAGTTATGATGCAATAATGTATGTAAGATTTTATTCCAACAATTGAAGTGTAAATTTTTGCATGTAATAAATTAAATTCTTTTATCGTCTAATAATTTGTTCAATTTTCAATTCAAACTCTCATTTTTCTTATTACCGTTATGCTCAAACACTTTGGCTAATTTGTCATCAAAGAAAGAAAAATTGGCAAAAAAAGCCGCTCATGGATTTAAAAAATTTTTTTTTTAATTCTGGAAATTCAATTTGCTTAGAACAAAACTATCTAGGCTGTTTATTAGTAAATTATTTATGATCTTCAAAAAAAAATGCAACATAACGATATGCAAAAGAAACAATGATTTGAGATGGAAAGTTGAAAAGATTTATTTCGAAATATTTGGCCCATTGATAATTTCATCTTTCAAAATCATATCAGAAAGAACGAGGAATCATATCGCGCACATAGCAGCAAATATTTATAAAGCAAAAAAGATTGTGAAACATTTATGATAGAAATGAATTTGAATTAATTATTATAAAATTTCTGAAGTATTTTCCACCTGAAAATAAAACAAAAGGATGCTGACATACATACATTCAACAAATGATAAGAATTAAAAATTTCTTGCAATATTTTCATGAATTTTCACTTCTTCCGTCTTTGAAAATGAAAATTTCAGCTTTTCTATAATAATACTACAGTGATAAAAGAGTGAAAAAGCTTACCTGTTTAACACCTTGAGCCTTGATAATATCATAATTTGTTATGAAAAGTACAACAATTTGAAATGTAAAAAGGAAGTTTCCGAGGAAAATTCTGAAGACAACCATTTTGACTATGACATGAATTGATGTCGAATCATACAAAACGAAAACAAAAATTGTCCGTTGGCAAAAAAAAGGAAAAAAAAAAGGAAATAGGAAGGGTGATAAGATATGGATATGGAAAGAAGAAAATGGTGAAATTTTTATTTCCTTTCTTTTCTTCTGCTCTATCATTAATACGGATCAAATCGACAATGAAGTTCACTCATGTGATGGACGAATCAATGAAACATTTGATAGATGAGAAAAATTACTGCAAGAGAAAAATCTTTCTGATCGAGAACAAGTTTCAAGATGTGAGATCAGCATAAAGTTTTCCTGTATTTTAGGATTTCGACGTATGATATTCAAATATGAAGTGATTCACGATTGATCTCTTCTTATAGGTTATCAAATGATCAACACAAGTGCAATGATCAACAAAAAATGAAATGATCAACATTGTAGGCTCAAAAATTAGATTTTTTTAAAATTTTGATTAATGTTTAGAATTATTAATGTTTGGAATTATTTAAGTGTTAAATTATGTAGGATAAAATAAATATAAAACGAATACGATGCATTTTTTGATCATAAGCCAGCATGTCAGTTCAGTAGTTCAGTTTTACTTCTCGTGAGATCTTGCAATTATTGTTGAATTGATTTAAAAAATCGAAGTTCATCAAATATATTAATTCTGAATAGGGGTATTTTTTAAGCAAAATAGAATTTGAAAAATATTTGCAGCTCATCATGAAATTGCTTACTTAAAAATGTTCACAGTTTATCACGAAACTGATTTTTTGAATCGATTTTTCATTCATCTAATGACTCTAATCACTTTATCATTATAATAGTTCACCAGAGTGCATATTTGTGAGTAAAATAGAAAAGGTGATTTTGAAATCATTACAACAAATAATCAATAATCTAATATTGCGGAATTCCTATAATTCAATTTGACAACTCATGATACCATAGTTCGGGAATTTCAACTACGTCTAGACGGTCATATATAGTCGCAAAGT